AAAAAAAAAAAAAAAAAAAAAAAAAAGTGCCTTCCAGGTAAAACATGCTTGGACAGTTATGCCCAGATCTGTTGAAAAGAAACATTTTCTTCCTAAGAGGTATTATCTATTTCTCATAACTGCAAGAGATACTTTTTGGTAGACTAGAGCATTTTTTATTTTGCTGATGGTCAAACCTTTGCATTGCACAAAGATGGGACAGATTAAAGCTGAAGATCTGCTGTTGTCAGTGGCTGCCTTTGCATCTGGGGCCCTGATGACCAGAGCACCAGCTACTCTCATAGGCAGAGTCTGAGAGCAAAGGTACTCTCTGGGGAACAGTTCTCAGTGCCTCTGGTTATCAGATAACTTGGTGTCCTGATGTTTCTTCTTTTAATAGCAGGGGGAGTCCAGGTGCAAAGCACCAATGTTGAGATGCTCTGCTTTCAAAACTGAGGAGTGTTAAAAATGGGTCTAAGAAAACGGGGATTGCAGTAGTTCTTTCAGGGGGCAGTCTCCCCTCTTTGATTAACAAATTTCTGCACAGCTGAAGGAACTACTGGTATTTCTAAATGAAACATGGAAGTCACTGAATTGAACTACATCCCAAATCCATGTGACCCCATGTATAGTTTCAGTTCGTGGCCAGCACCAGATGCTCCAGAGAAAGGCGCAAATAGCCTTGTAGAAGGCAGGTGGAGGTTAGTCATCCACAGCAGTTCAAGGGTGGATGACTAAGACCTAAAGCATTTATGTTTTAACTTTTACCTTTTTTTGTGCTGGTAATTTTAATTAATCCTTGTAACTAATTTGAATGTCTGATTGGAGATCAGACAAAAGCTGAACTCTGGTAAATTTTTCTGTTACCAGAAAACATAGAGGTTCTTGGACAGGAATATAGCTTTCCTGCTCCCAAAGATGGGAGAATCGCCCCTTACTTCCCTGAGAGTAGGATTAGCTACTACAGGAAATTCTGGATGCTCACAGCTAGAACAGTCCTGAAAATGTAAATTCACATGAAAACTTTTACATGTTTCTTCCACAAAAAGGCATGTTCTAAAAAATTATACAAGAGCAGGTCTGGCTGTGTGATAGACAGCAGATCTGTGATTACCTCTGCAGCACCAAGCCTGTTTATCCTTCTTCTGCGGCTTTGTTCCAACAGTCCAGCTTGAGACAACCAATATCTTTAAAGAGTGAAAGAATCCCTTCTCTCTTAATATTTCTTTCCTTCTGGTGGATGTGAAAAGTCCTCCACAAATTACGTTAAAGGCAAAATTAAGTTAAAGGCAAACCTGCTGCATTTCAGAGAGCTGCTCTAGGCAATGCAATTGCTGGTGCATCTCTGAAGAAAGTTACAAGGATCTGTGTAATGGAAGCTGTTCAGTCAAGGATTCATTCCCTATGCATAGAAATCAGCCTTTAATAGGCTATGCTGTAGTGATACAACAACATATATGAAACCTGTCAAATGATTATGGACGAGTGACACTATTGTTCCAGGCTGCCGTTGCTCTCTTCTTACCATCTGAATGTCTTCTCTGCCACTTTTCTCAATTGCCTTGTTCATGTGGATATCTAACATGGACTAGGGTCACTAGCAACATCTGGCTTTTGCCCTAACAAGAAAGCCATTAATAACTGCCATAAAACCCAATGTGAGGCCTCAACAGGTTGAAAGTTTTACTTTAAAACAAGTTTATTGCACTGAGGATTCATTCACATCAGGAAGTAAAGTGAACATACTGTTGTGCTGACCAAACTCTGAAGCATGTGTGCTACAATCAATTCTACTGTGTCCTTCTTCTCTGAGGTACAAAGTGCTCCCTTCCAGGCCTAACAAAGCAAATGATGGCTCTTTCTTATGTTAGGAGACAAGAAAGCTATTGTCATATCTAAAGCTGGAATAATAACAATTACTTGTTGCAGTAGGAATGTCAAAGAGCTTGCCTGGTTATGTCCACTTGGCATAAAACACCTTTGTTTATGCCAGGCTCAGAGAAATGACTGAACTCATGTCTTTTGATTGAACATTTTGCACACCAGAGTTTTCCTAGAACAACATAAATCATCCAGAAGATAGTAACATGATGCTAAGAGACAACTCGTAACTTAATAAAACTACTGTCTGTCTGAAATTTTTTTCTTTTCAATGTAGCCGATTAAATTCTAGCACTGATAGTGCTTTTGTTTGCTAACCTTGTCTTTCTCAGACTCTCAGGCTTTCTCAGGCATTTGACTCCTTGTGTGATAGGTGATCTTACCAAAAAGCTTTTTACTGACATGAGAGTCACTTGCTAAACTCACACTCTGCAATCAGCTTCTTTGTTTTATTCGAAAATCTACATTTTAGAATATGACGAGATGCATGATGAGGTTTTGCAACAGGCTTGTCTCTCTTCTTTCCCTCTCTGCTGGTACAGCACACTTTCCACCGCAAAACAAGCCCTTACAGGTGTTCTCCCATTGCAAAAATGCTACTTTTCTTAGTGCCAAACAATGTTTTCGGGAATCCATGGGGATTCTTGCCCTTGCCTCATCAGGAACGCGTCTCTGCAATGTTCCAAGGATGTTTTCACTGGTGGTACGTCAGGTCCAGCTTTCTCTCTGACAATTTTCCCCATAGCTTGTTTCAGAGTGGACATTTTCATCTATATGCTTGTGAAGTTGGGGCATATGCTTGGCCCGTGAGAACTAGACTTGTGCTCCTGCTGGAGTTAGTAACTATTAGTCTAGCGCTATTGCCCACTTGGAAGAAAATCTTTAAAAATCTCCGTGGTGTTAAATGACTGATTTTGGAGTGCTCCAAAAGAGAGTACAGCACCTGTTAAGGATTATTGGGTATTTATAGACCGATACCATGCAGTTTAAGCTGTGTGACTGGTTACTGCTCCCCCTCTTTTTAACAGCTTCACACTTTTGTAAATCCTCACGTCATCGTTTCTGTTTGGGGTTAGTCAACCCTGAGGACCATAGCCTGTTCCTGGTAGTAGACAATTAAGTTGCTCTTCAGCTGTAGGTTTTGACACTTGATGGTTTCTAACCTTGTTTGTGGGCAGTTTGTGGTGGAGAAATGTTTCGACTGCCACCCTCTTGCAGTCCCGCTGGTCTCTGAACATAACTTTGACCCTCTTGGAGGCTAAATCAGTGGTCAGCTCACATTTCTTCCTGGTAAACAGGCAAAGCCTTCAAGAAAGACATTACCTGGGCATATTACTAGGTGACCTTGCCTCAGAGATATTTTTGAGTGCTGGCACCATGAACATGAAACCCCAAAACTTGTCCTGACCAAGGTAAACACTCTTACATTGGTTACACACTTTGCCAGTAGTTCTGTAGTAGCTGCCGGCTCCTGTGATAGTCAGGGCTACAGGAAATCTCTTTGCAAGGATGAAACCAGAAAACGTGGGCTTTGGGGTAGGAGGAATGGGGTAAGATTTAAAGAAAATGTAAGGAAAGTATCCTTTCCTCTGCTGTCATTTTCTCCTAAGTAGAAACAGATGTGTGGGTAAAGACTGTCTATTTTAAATTTTGCAAACATGAATTTTACTCTGAACTTCCCACGAAAAAGCAGAGGGACACTGATGTTTTCTATACCAAGGAAAAAATGCTTTTTGGTTTCAGAGTTGCAAAGCCATAACACGTTAATATCTGTGAAGCACTGTTATTCCAGAGCCTCACAGGGAAAGGAGACCTGCCACTTTCGCACAGAAGGAAAGAGATCTAATACCCCCTCCAGCTTCCTTCCCGCATTACTCCTCCAAACCAAGCGGCATCTCCTTACAGGCCCCCCTGTGCTGCCCATTGCCTTCCCCTGCTTCCTACCTGTCTTCTCCCACTGTAATGATGCTTTTGTTTCTCGTGACTTGGCTCTGATCACTGTTTCCCTTTCTCTCAGGTTTATGATTACATAAAAAGGG